GTAAAAAAAATGTTTTTTAATATTTGCTGTACACACTTGTTTTTGTAGAGATGTGAAGAAAGATTCAATAATTCAAGATGCTAATCCACAAGATTTACAAAGCAACATTGAAAAAGACAATATAGTTTCTACCGAACCATTTGTCATGGCAAATGACACGAGTCGAAAAAAGTAAAATAAACAGAGTAAGAAAAGAGAGTAAGAAAAAAAAATATTAAATTTTATTTTAATTTGTAATCTTTTTTGTTTCAGGAAGAAATCTAATAATAAAATACAAAAAGTGTTTGTAAGAACTGCTAAATACAATATAGAATGCATTAGGCAAACTGATGTTGGTAACAAAGAATCGTGGATAAAATTATTAAAATACATTAACTATAACTATGCACATAAACTTTATGTAGCAAAACAAACACGCTTAGAAATAAAAAGTGTAACAACGGAATCTGTAATAGAAAGTTTAAAAAGTAAAAATTTATTAAAAACTGATACCGTCAATGCTTTAAAGGTGAGTAATTAATTATGCTATAAAATTGCTGATTTTTGTTTATTGGAACATTATTGAATAGAATACAGTCTGTTCAATGAAAGAAAAGTCTGCGGAGCGGACCAAAATTTGTTTATTTCGCGCATATCTTTTATCAGGATAGCGATACTCGTCTCTCTACTCGTGTCACTCACTGGAAGCTCTACAAACAGTGAAGTGATAGGGCTTTTTGATAACAGATATGCGTGAAATAAACAAAAATTCGCTTGCTTTGCGGACCTTTTTCTCAATAAACAGAGTGTAGAATATTATTAGGATATTAGTTTTTCGTTACTATCTTATCTTTATAAATAGAATACTAATTATAAATGTAATTGTATAGAGATTTATATATTGTAAAAACGTTTCGTATAATACAAAATCTAATGAATAGAATTATTGTATCAATAACTACATTTAAATGTCATCATGAATCAGGTTTAATAACATTGGTAGTTATAATTGTACATTATAAAGTTTATAAAAAAATAGCTATTGTTCATATACGAAATAGTTAAGTTAATATTGTAGGATGTAATGCCTCCTGTCCAAGAATTATTAACAAGAATGTTAACTGACAAGAAGATGGTAAAATTTCCACACAGATTAAGATGTTTTGCTTGCACATTACGTTTTCATTCTCCTGCGGCATATTTATATGTAAGAAAAATGTTTTTAAAATGTCTGCCACATCCAAATACTCTTAGAATGTGGATGCGAAATATTCACAGTGACTCAGGTATATCTGAGCAAGCATTAAAAACCATATTGAATAATTCAAAATGAAAAAACTAAGAAGATAGTGTTCAATTTAACTTTAGACGAAATGAGTATAAAAAAAAAAGTAGATTGGGATGAACAAAAATCACACGGTTTTGTTGATATCAATACTAACACTATTAATAATACGGTGCCACTAGCTAGTGAAGTTCTTGTTTTTATGATAGTTGCCATAAATCACAATTTCAAACTTCCAATTGCATATTAGTTTGTTAATAAATTAACAGGTAGTGAAAAAGCAAATTTATTAAAGACTATCTTATGTACCCTGTATAAAAAAAAACATTGATGTTGTTAGTATCACGTTTGATGGAGCATTCACAAATATATCTATGTACGAAAAATTGGGAGCACATTTGAACTCATTTAAAATTGATGAAATTGTGCCATATTTTGTTCATCCTGCTAATAAATTTAAACATATTTGTATTTTTTATAATGCATGCCATATGATCAAACTTATCAGAAATACTTTGAAAACATATGATTTAAATAATAACAAAAATCAGACTATTACTTGGAAATATATAGAAAAATTAGTTTTCCTGCAAGAAGAAGAAAAGTTACATCTTGCAACTAAAGTAAGAAACAGACACGTACACTTTGAAAATGAAAAAATGAAAGTGTGTTTAGTTGTACAAGTGCTCAGTAATTTGGTATGTGATGCACTTATGTATTTAGAAAATGATCTTAAATTACCTGATTTTTCTACAGCTTCAGCAACTGCGTTGTTTTGCAAAATGTTTAATGACATGTTCGATGTATTAAATTCAAGAAATTTGTATAATAAAATGGAAATGAAACGAGCAATAACAAAAGATAATATATTTATTCTAAAAGGTAAAATTAAGAAGTTTATCTCATATATTACATCTCTTAAAATGAATAACATTCCTGTATTTCAAAGCATTCGAAAAATAGGCTTTATAGGGTTTATTATCGATTTACAAAACAGTATTTCTTTAGCAGAATAGCTTTTTAATGAAAACACAATAGAATTTTTACTTACTTATAAATTATCTCAAGACCATGTTAAGACTTTTTTGCTTTGATTAAAAGGATGAATGGTTGGAACAATAATCCAACCGCAAAATTGTTTAAAACATCTTTCAGAAAAATATTGCATGTAGCAGATGTCTCGGTTCCTGTAAGTGCTAACTGTATTCCACAAGACAACACTGTATTACTTAATACTACATTATCCAATGAGTTTGTAAAAAATAAACAAGAAATTAGTAGTATACAAAAAGAAGCAGATGTTGAGTCAAAAGATTTTGTAACTATTGTTTTTACAGATCATGATTATCTAAAACAAAATAATTGGTGCTTAAATGAATATGCTGAAAATGTGATTACATACATTTCTGGTTACGTAGCTAAAACTGTTTCTAAAAAAAATTAATTGCTTCTTTTGTAAACAATTGCTCATTTCAAGCGAGATACAAAAAAAATAGATACTTGCAAACTTCTACAGCGAAAAAATAGAAATAGTTTGTGTCAAGCATTATCAGATGTTATTGTGATATGTAAAATAACAGAAAAAACTGTAAGACAAAATAAAGACAAATTATTTACAACTAAAAATATATTACACGTTTTAATATGTCAGTCCTTACACTCATTTCCTTCACACATTTTTAATATTAGTGATATTATGCACGTTACTCACACATATGTCTGATAAGACTTCGTTATTTGATCATCGAAGTCAAATAATAAGACTAATTTTGAACACTTTTTTCAACCTACGTCTTAAACATGAAACTACAACATTTGACAATTCTATCCAAAGAATAAGAATGAGAAACAATGATTTAACACTCTTTCAAAATCAGTAAAATTACATAATAAAAATATCTTACAGTTTTTCCAGTTATTAAATATATATTAAAATGATAAAAAGTTGTCATTATTTTTATCTTCTGTGCTTTCTTGTAAAACCATAATATTAAATATATGTATGTCTAAAATACTATGTATACAATGTTATGTATAAAATATTTGATTTATTTTTATGTAGCAGAATATGCGTTTTACAAATGTTTACATGTTTTTAAATAAACAGGAAAATTTCATGGCCATTTGAAGCAAGAAACACAGGTGATAATGTGTGTGTAATATTAACGTTACTTTATTCAAGTACGTGATATATAAAACGTTTTCAGCCTTTGATTAGGCCTTTATCAATATATATCTACAAAGAAATCAATTGTTAGATTCGCAAATTTTATAGAATTACAATTACAACTTACAGAACAATTAGATGTAAATAGTCGCTGATTAACGTACATAATAATGTTGTTCTTGACAAAATCTTAAGTCACATGATTTCAAATTGTAATACAAAAGCAACTGAAGACCGACAGAAATGTACAACGGTTTAAATATAAATAACAATGAAAGTCATTGTCAACGCTCAAGCCACACTATAAAGTATTATCAACAAAAGGTAANTATGATCGATCGAGATTTTCAGTGTCGCTATGCAGGTTAAGACCATGGCTTTGACTTCGTATATACAGAGTTTCTGATATCAATCTTTTAACGTAAGAGTTTTCATTGTCTAAAATTTTTATATTGTCCCAATCAAAATCATGGGAACATTGAATCCTGTGGTCTGTGATAACCGAACCTTGAGAGGAATTTCTTCTAATATGATTTTTCTGTTCGTTTATTCTTAGATGTAACATTCTTCTAGTCTGTCCAACGTATGAAGCATCACAGTTCAAACAATTGATTTTATACACTACGGAAGGTCTTTTGGATATTGGAANAGGATCTTTTAAAACTTTAATGAATCTGGACAATTTGTCAATGCTATAAAAGGAAAAGTGAGTGTTATTCTCTTTCGGGAAAATATTAACAAATTTATTAGAGAAGTTATTAATATAAGGCATCACAAACCAACGTACTGGATTTTCATTCGATGATTTGTTCGACAGGAATCTTCTTATGTCATTATTTTTAAAAAAATTGTATTTTAGTCTTTGTTTAAAAATATCAAAAATGAAGGGGTGACACTCTATTGACCACAGTACGATTCGACACCGCTCGATTTGACACAGATTTATTCGACACCAAATTATTCGACACCGTACGATTCGACACGAAATTATTCGACACCGTACGATTC